TTGAATTCTCTGGAAGAATCTTGGGAAAACGAGGTGATTTGTTTTCAAAAGGAGGTGTTTTCTGCTATACCATTTACTGAAGTAAACCAATGAGTTCTTTCTTTGACTCCCCCCCCCAAAATATCGAAGACTAATTGGTGTTTTTATTTGTATGGGTGTTTGGTTTTGTGTGTGCTTATCCCTTCTCTCATTCTTTTGATAACTTATGTTTCAGTTTGTCACAAGTTACACAAAAATAAATGCAATAAGAAACACACCAAAATTCTTCACTTGGGCCCTGTACAGACTTTGCATTCCAAACCTCACGTGGTGTCTGTAACAGGGTGGACTGTTGCGTGAATGCAGGAATGGATGACGTCTGTTAAATGTCATACACCACCACGTTGTGCTTTCTGTTGTCCTTTACTTAGAACATGGAAGCCATATGTCCTGAGCTCTCACATCCATCTCAGAATCTCACGGAATCATCATGATTCCCTTTCCTGGGGAGAAGCTGAACTTCCTGATGCCAACCCCCTCCGCTCCTGCCTCCTTTGAAACCTCATCCCTCCCTCCTCCCTACTCCTCAAGTGCCTCCATTCAAGGCGCTCTGCCCCCAACAAATACATTTAGGAGTCTTTGATTCATAACATTTCTTCCTTTGACGTCCACCCTCCCAATCTCTTGTCATACATTTTGTTCACCAAAGGGTATACATGTGTGGACTCCGGTACCATCATCAGCTTATCATCTTTGTTTAACCAGCTGTGGTCTTTCTTACCTGTCTATAAAAACTTTCTAGGTCACAAAATCAAATAACCTGTTATTATTATTATTATTATTATTTTTGCAGTATGCGGGCCTCTCACTGTTGTGGCCTCTCCCATTGCGGAGCACAGGCTCTTGGACGGGCAGGCCCAGCGGCCATGGCTCACGGACCCAGCCGCTCCGCGGCACGTGGGATCTTCCCAGACTGGGGCATGAACCTGTGTTCCCTGCATCGGCAGGCGGACTCTCAACCACTGCACCACCAGGGAAGCTCCTGTTATTTTTTAATCCATCATTTCCTTAGACTTTCTGCAGCACTCGACCCTGATCGTCTTCCTCTTGGCTTACACCACTGGCCTGTTTTTTTTCTTATTCCTCTGTGACCAGTTCTTTTGTCCTTTTGGGGACTTAAACTCCTCCTCCTTCTCGACTTGTCCCCAAACTTCCCTCCTCCCCAAATCTTAGGCCATAACCTTTCTGCTCTACTCTGTTTCTCACAGTCCTCACTTACTATTATCTCCAGCCAAGTGACTCCTAAACCCAGAATCAATACTCTTGACCTCAGTCCTGTCTTCCACCAATACATTTTCAATGGTCTCCGCACATTCTAGCACGATGCCCTGCCATTAATTCAACATGTCCCAGACCAGCACCGCCCCAAACTTGCCTATTTTTGAATCCTTCTCTCACTCACATAGGCTCAACATCTATCCTTTTCATTGTCATCACTGCCCAAATCCGTGTTCCCAAATCTTGTCAATTCATTGTTCTAATTCCACCTTCTCAATTCCTATTGCTCTAACTCCTACTAGACCCTCATTCATATCTGAAACAGTCTCTGAACTGCTCTGTTCAATTTTCGTTCCCAATTTACCCAACGTAACTTCACCAGGTTAATCTTCTAATACACAGCTACTTTACACACACCCACTCCCTTGCTCAAAAAAACTGAGTCCCCGTTTCTACATAATTAAATACTAACTTCCCTTCCCTCCCTGACCACGCCCCAGTCATATCCTGAGCTCTCTCCTATCCCATTTTCCACTTTTCATCTCTATAATTTATATTTCCAGCCAAGTAAGAATTTGAATAAGTTAAAATTTTTGTATGCTTTAATGCAATATAAAAGTTGTTCACTTTTTCTAGAACACCTTGAAAATCTCTTTCTGCCTTTGTTGGAGCTCTCTGCCCAGAGCGACTTCTCCAGTCCTGATTTAATAATTCCTTCCTTCCAAGGCCTCCTCAGTGAAGCCTGTTCCACCTGCCCAGGCTCCCAGCAAGCCTGTCCTCTGAACCTCTCCAGGGCCTTCTGAGCTTGTCACTTGCCCAGCCTTTAATATAGACTAGATGTGATTTGTTACTGCAAACCTGTCTCTTCAATCTGATACGAATTACTTGGTGGCAGGGACTTTGACTTCTCTTTCTCTATAGGTGTCCGTAAAGTCTGGAGCCATCAGTTATTTGATTTGTTGACAGACTGCAGATGTCCTTGATGACACACGTGCCTTGCCTGCATTCTGAACTTGATGGGCTTCACGTATCTCTCTCCTGCTGCTATAGCGCCTCACACAGAGTAAGCATTCCAGTGGGTTTGCAATAATTCCTCACTGTCACACTGTTTCATGTGATGGCTTGGGAATGAATGAAACGAAATATGCAATGACAGAATTGGGAGAGAGAGGTCAAAATGTGGTTAAAAAGAAACATTGGATCTACTTTTCCCAGCAAATTCCAGTTTTGTTTCTCTAAGGAGACTGCCGCCAGCACCCATGCATAACTGTTTTGTTACAAACCATCTTTCTGGGTTCAGCTCTGGACCTTCACTTCTCTGTAAAGCCTTTCTTGACCCCCTCTGGCAGTTAGATGTAACTATAGCACTTACTACATGTACTGTTTTTTTATTGTCTTGATTCCACCTTTTGACAGTGAGCTTCAGGGCCACGAACTGTGTCTTCTTCATGCACAGGATGCAGTACCCAGTACGTATTTAATTAGTACTTTGGAATGAATAATGAGGTAACACTAGCAGGCAGCATCGCAGTGTTCACTATCTGCTAAGCATTGCACTATGCACTTCACCTGCATTATTTTATTTAAATCTTACCACAATCCCATGTTATTTCCCCCGTTTCAGATGAGGAAACTGAGACTTGGAGAGGTTAATTAGTTTGCCCAAGGTCACCAATAAGTGGTAGTTTTGCTCCAGGCCTGCATACTTAGACTCTTGCTGCACTAAATGAACAATGAATAGTAACCATCTGATGGCCACCTCAGTGGAAAGGGACTGTCCTTGTATCTCTCCAGGTGGCACCTGGAATTAGGAGGTGGGTCTTGATAGTTTTAAGTTATCTGTAGAGCTTTGTAAAAAGACCTCTGCACCCTACCCCAAACCAATAACAACGGTTTCTCTGAGGTGTTAGCATCGATATAGTTTTTAAAGCATCCAGGTCATGATAATGTGAAGCTGGGTTGAGACTCACTGGCCTAGATAGATGCCAAAGGCCTCTTTTTTTTTTTTTTGCGGTATGGAGACCTCTCACTGCCGTGGCCTCTCCCGTTGCGGAGCACAGGCTCTGGACGCACAGGCTCAGCGGCCATGGCTCACGGGCCCAGCCACTCTGTGGCATGCGGGATTCTCCCGGGTCGGGGCACGAACCCGTGTCCCCTGCATCGGCAGGCGGACTCTCAATCACTGCGCCACCAGGGAAGCCCCAAAGGCCTTTTAATGCAAACCTTTCATGAGAATTGGGCCATAATGGAATTGCCTTCTTTTGTGACTAAGACCCAGAATTCTGGAAAAATAAAACAAAAACAAGAATAAAGAAAAACCTAGTGATGGTAGTCTGGGAATGTATTATGAACCATGTAGGGATAGTGGAATATTTGCCCATAGATATAGGGTAAGAGGAAGATCCCAAGGGGAGATTATATCATTAAAGAGTCGGCTGAAGATGGGTAGCATGATCCTATATATGGTCTAAAAAAAGCACTTTACCATTACAGGTGGGGATATGAACTGTGGCTTAATAAAGAAGTTACCTTGTGTTTCAATATGAGTGAAATGATATATCATTTAATTTATACCTCACCTCCTTTGAGATTTCCCCACAGGACAGAGGAGGCAACTATCTGTCCTCAGGATTGGAATGTAAGAAAAAGATGCACCTATGTTGTTGCAAGTATCAAATGAGGACATATCGGTGAGAACTTTTCGCATACTCTAATGCAATATACAAAAATTATATTGTATGCTGATGGAACTTCCCTGGTGGCGCAGCGGTTAAGACTCTGTGCTCCCAATGCGGGGGGCCTGTGTTCGATCCCTGGTCAGGGAACTAGATCCCACACGCATCCCACAACTTAGAGTTCACATGCCACAACTAAGGAGCTGGCAAGCCACAACTAAAGGAGCCCTGGAGCCGCAACTAAGGAGCCCACCTGCCTCAACTACAACCTAATGCAACCAAATAAATAAATGTATATTAAAAAAAATGTATATATATAGTATGTTGATTTTTACATAGAAGTAAAGATGCCTCCTGTTTTATCAAAGACTGTTCTGTATGGATCAAATCATGATACAGCTCTGATATTTCTATCTTGCATAATAAACAGCTTCCTCTGTATTTAAGAAATTTTTTTATGTCATTCATCCACCTAGGAGCTTCAGACTTCATCCTAGTCACATGGGCAGGCTTATAAAATATAATATGTATCCAGCTTAAAATAAAAGTATTTCCCTCAAATATGAGAACTAAAATTAAGGGAATAGAAAATGCAGTGTTCTCCACTGGGATGATATTTGCAGCCCCTTTGAGGTACACAATAGTCATCCGTGGTAACTTGGGGCCTTGAGAAAAAGACACTGACTTTCTTTTATTCTGTTTTTCCACGTTCTCTCTTTTACCACTCTGTAGCCCTGAGGAATGACTTGGACGTCAGTTGTTCTTTGACTGCTTGAAGAGAAGACAGATTCTATTTAACGTTAGAGATGAAGAAATGGTTAGAATTTTGACACAGTAATTATCTAGATTGCCAAAACAAAATACGAATTCTTTAGAATTTATCAAAACAGTATGTCGAGAGTCTTTTTACTTTTTAGAGTAAATATGACACAAGGGGTAGCTTTAGAACAAGCTAACGTTACTAGGATTCAGGCAGGTGCAACTGGTACAGTTCAGTAGTACATAAATGACTCAAACAAATGTACTCTAGACCGGAAACTTAAGTTACAAAATATAGTCAATATTACAATTAATACAGGTAAGTAAAAACCATTGCTCTCAGATTCTGCACACTTAAAAAAACCCATAAACTTTATACAATAATCAAAATCACGCATTTCTACTCAAATTATTAGGGCATATTACAAACACACATAAGCCTAAAAAGTTATGGTCACATTTTGGTTTTGTTCCAGTGATGCACAATCACATGAAATGTTCTATCTGTTTCGTGTGAAATAAACATTTGGCTGAAGTGCTATAGCCGCTGAATTAACAATATTTCCATAAAAATGTTCAGACTAAAATAATCCCAAACATCGCAGTGTTTAGGATTATTTTGAGAGTCCTTACAAAGAGTCCTTATGAATCATAGAAATAGAAGCAGTTAGGAAATTTCAGTGTATTTTGTCTGTTTTGTTTTTTTTAACACGAGTAAACAAATACTGGATTTAAAGTGCAGCTTCTTTCTCCTCTCCCTTCGATTCTCCCTCGCCTAGAAGATCAGGTCTATATTCGTTTTTAGAATCTCCAAGGAAAGCTGGAAACAAATTGAGCGACAGTCAAGTCTGTTTGTCTCGAAAGTCAGTGATGGCTTTCCACAGTGTACACAGCATCCCTCCCCTGTTTAAAGACACAAGAACATGGTGAAGAGATCACTTCATTTGAAACAGTGCCCTTGAAATATGAAAGTGACTTCTTAGCTTTCAGTGGCTCTGATCAGAACATGAAGATCCCAAAGTCTTATCATTCATTATGTATTCTTTTTGTATATATTTTCTCCTCATCCCTCCATGCCTTTCCTTTCCACTCCCACAGACTACCAGGGCCCAAAGTGTCATTTTAGACTTTCTGCACTTTTGAAATGTGTCTTTCTAGAGGTGGGTCAGAGTAATCGTTATGTATGTGCTTGGCCTGATGGAAAAAACAAATTATTATAAGAAACTGTATCAGATTATAGCAGGTATCTGGATGGCAAATCAGTACCTCATCCTGATATTTCTATTAAGCATGACGCAATCATGAACCAAATTAGAGCATTTGTTTAAGGCAGCTTCAGAATATCTGTATGGTCTTAATCTGATGTGTTATCAAGAAAAGTCTTCCAGCTGACTTTGCATTTACTGATATAGACACATTGCTTATTAGAGCTCCCAATAATAGCCTGCTACAACTAACTCAGGTTTCTCAGAGCAGCTGAGAACCAGAGAGCTTTACCCAGGACTGTAGAGCTAGTTAGAGCTATAGGTAGTGACCCAGGACGGAAGGGACCCAGGCTTCTTGATCTCAGCCCAGTGCTCTTTCCATCACGATGAGACTGAACAGAAAGAAAAGTGGTACCTTAGTCTCAGGCATTTTAAATCGTCACGTGTAACATAGTAGAGAACATCTGCTAGTGAATAATCCTCAGCCAAAAACTGTGGAGAAAGTAAAATATGCACAAAAGTAAGATGTTTTATGTACTTTCAATAAGTAGCAAACTATCCATAATGTAAACATTGGCAATAATGAAAAAAAAATTTAAAAGGAAATCCACTAAAGACATAGTCTTTTGGAATTATTAGAAAAAAGTTCCCCCTATTACAAAATAATTACAAAGAAATACATCCATATGCCTTCCAGGAGCAAAAAGATTACAAGCAACACAGAATTTCTGATTGGTCTTCTGATGAATAGATAAGACTTGCTTGTAATTACACCTGCTGCTTATAAGATAATGTTTTTATTTAGGGTTTACTGCTTTGTAGCTTTATTTTTCTCCAGTGGATAAAAAGTGTTGCTTACACTTGATTTCTGATAAAAGGTACCTTCCAATACTTACTACAAAATCAGAGTCCTGAATTTAAGTGAAGCTTTTAATTCTAAATCTTTCAAGAAGGGCAGTGATTTAGTGGATCATCAATTACTACTCCTTAATTTTGATTTGAACCTAAGTTAGAGGGAAAAATATTTTGATGAACTTGATTGGATACATTATTTCCCATAGGCAAGAGAGTCCTTTAAATTTATTTAATTTGTTATGCAGATTTCTAAGGAGACCCTACATTTTATTTAGTGGTCCAATAAATTATCAAGTCAAGAGAAATACATCCTTATTCTTAGTTGTTTAAAAAATTTAAATATAAAACTGAAATCAATGTAATATTGTACTGAGGCCCTTTCTATAAAATAATAAAAATATATCCTCTTACTATGTATATATGTGTATACATATTGTGTAATCTTAAAACATAAAGAAATGCTATTCATGCTGACTACAAAAGCTCCCTATATGGAGCAGAGATGAATTAGGTTCTTATAGACATAATATCGTTTATATAGAAAGTGTCTGTTGCTGCCATAAGTTCACTAACTAGTCTAGTTTATTAAGTAGCAATAAATAGCTGCTGCTCAGTGGAGTCTAAGAATGTCACAAGAGAATTAAAAAGTTAACAAACAAGAGAAAGAATTAGAAACAGGAGAACTTTTTTCTTTCAGTTCTGTCTTGATTTTTCCTACTCTTTATTTTCAACTCAAAAACATAAAAGTCCTTAGGCGTTCTGGACCACAGAGCTTTCACCTGCCTCTGCACATTCTGCACCTCCACCCCCAAATAGTTTTCCCTTCTCATCTGCCCCCCACCCCAGAACATCCACACAGATAGTGTATTCCTACATACTCCTTTAGACTTCAGCTCACTGGTCATCTCAAAAAACCTTCCCCAGCTTCTCCCTCCCTCTGTCTCGTAACACTTGATAACCTTTCCTTCACAGAATTGACCAGGACATAATTACACTTGTATCTATGGGATTATTTGATTATCATCTGCCTACCCTGGTCTGTGAGGGCAGGGTTGGGTCTGCATTTCTCACCAGTGTACTCCCTGTGCCTAGCACATAGTAGGCACTCAACATTATGAAACAAAGTGAAAGAATGCTTGTCCCACAGAATGTTTTCTTTACCCGACTTATAGTGTCTTCATCAGCTCCATTTTCTCTCAACCATTCAGTAAGTTCAGAGTCTTCAGTATTTGCGCCAGGAGAATTCAGGTGACACGCAGGCAACCCAGGAATATCTAGAACAGCATTGAGAGGAGGGAAGGACGTTCTTAGCTTCAGCTAACAGAGGTCATCTGAGACCCTCCTGGTTAACATTTATTGATACTTTAAAAGATTTTTCTCTATCAGAGTATAATTAATAGAAACCATTGAGATTGGTAGTCTACATGATAATATAAATAAAACTCTTTAACACTGCTTAATATACCAGTAAATGGAGAGTCAGTAACAATAATTAATGATACTCCCACCTTATAGTTTCATATCAATTTTATAGCTTCTTAGAATAAAATGGTACACCAAAATTGTACTGTTTTTCATGCAACAAAGATGAGCATAATTAGCAGAGCGCCATATAATAATCTCTTTTTCCACTATCTGCAATAATATGGAAGGACCATATATCTGAACAAAAAAAATATGAACTTTATTTTCCTCTAAACAGGCTAAATAAGATTGTCTAAAGATTATCTTTCATACCCAATTTCTCACAGAATAGATTTCGTCAAAGTTCCATCCGACTTTTTTAAAAAATTGAGATAAAACTGACATATAACGTTGTATTAGTTTAAGGTGTATCCGATTTATGACTTTTTATTACTGTATCTTGATTCTGTTTAAGCCTTGTCAAATTATAAGGGGGGGTGGGAACACTAGAAAACACAGAATACAAATGCAAAATGACAAAAAATAATATTTTATTCTAGTAATTTCATTGTGAAATCTTAAAAAGAAATAAGGACAAAAAAATGGAAAGCCCTACTTACTTCAATAATACATAATCTCGGGAAACGGTGATTATGAATCATCTTATTTTTACTGCACTTATAAGAACTGATAGCTTGCTACAATTAAGAATTGGATTTTTTTTTTAAGGCAACTTCTGCTTGTGGTTGTGGTACAAGTGACAGATGCTGATTAAGCCATGACATAAAGCTACCTGTTGGCTTTCTAGCTTTTTGTGGCAGCCTGGTTGAACAGTATTACTTTAAAATTTTCTGCTATTCACCTATTGGTTGGGACTTAAGCTTCAGGTGCTTAATTTCTTGGTCTTTTTCTTCAATAGCTTGACAAAGAAGTGCTTGTAATTCTTTCTCTTTCTGAACCAATTCTTCCAGTAATCTGCGGAAGGAAATTATATTGGTTGACAGGATAATAAAGCTAGAGCAGCCACAGAGTCATCTCCTAGGCAAGGGCTTCTCAAGCTGTAATGAACACAGACACCCCTGGGATTGTATTAAAATGCAGATTCTGATCCAGTAGCCTGGGGCTGGGGAGCGTTAGGGGAGGGACCTCTGAGCTTCTGCATTTCTAATGAGCTCCCAGCTGATACTCATTTTGCTGGTCCACAGAGCCCCAGGTTCACCAAAATCTTCAGAGATGTTGTTCTGTTTCTTTTTATGACCATAAACGGCAAAAAGGTTTATATATGATATTGACAGACCTATATTTTACATGTATGGCCCCTCATCAAAAAGTTTGTCAATGTGGGTAATACAATAGGCAATGCAAAGCAGAAAGGTAGTCACTTTTTTAAACTATGAAAATTTGAGAAGTAACTATAGGTGAGGTCACCTATAGTACCTGGCATATAATAAGTCCTCAATAAATGTTAATGGTGGTTGCTTGGGCTGTTGTGGTTGTTACTGTTATTTCTCTCCTTCTAAGGGGAGCAGTGAAGTGGGTAAAAGGATAGCTGTGTTCCTGGTACATTCAGTTCCCAGTTGGCATCTGATGCATTCTCCAAAGAAACAAGGAGAAATATTACACATAGTTCTTACCCATGAAAGGTTCACTATACAACTGAGAGCCAAGTGGTAACCCACTCACCATTCCCAACACAGTTTTCTGGGAAAACATTCCAGCTTGTGAAGAGAGATGTTCTGATTTTTTAGAAAACCATCTTCAAGTAACTTGGATTCAGAATTATAATAATTTAAGATACATAATTATTTATAAGATCATCAAGGTACATGGTTGCATGCCCTATAGCTCTTAGCCAGCTGTATTTATTTTACTTTCTGAGCATTGACAGATTTAACTCAGGACCAGATTCCATTCCAAAAGTTTGTTTCTGCTTCAGCTGACATGGTCTGAAGGCAGCCCAGCCCAACAGAAGACAGCCCTGGGCCTTGTATCCTGGTTCAGCCACCCACGTCCTGTGTTAACCTTGACAAATGACAACACCTCTGGGCTTCAGTTTTCTCATTTGTAAAAGGGAAAAGTAGAACTTCCTGAAAGGATTACTGTGAGCACTAAATGAGACAGTATAGGTAAAGTGCCAAGCACAGTGCCTGGCCTTTAAGAAGGGCTTTCTGTTCCCTGCTGCCGCCTCAGGCCCCGGAAAAGAGGTCATCCAGGGCTTAATAGGGTTTGTTTCCCTGACCCCCAGGCTCCACCCCTTTTCCACACAACAGAGACACACAGAGTGAGGCCATTAGGTACAAGAAAGGGTCACAGTAGAGTAGGTAGCAGAGGTGAGACAAAAGGAAAACACAATGAGAGGCAGACAGAGAAAGTGGTTCCAGGAAGACAGTGTGTTTAAAGACAACTGCACAACTGCAGAGTAAACAGTGCACAACTAGGTGGATTAAGCAGTAGGAACTGAAAGCAAGAGGGAAGCAGAGGATTAAGGGATTATCTACTCTAATACTAATGATATTCAAAGAAATGGATAGCAAGCTCATTATGATTTTTTTTAAGTTGGCAACATTTTGGTCTGGTATATATTTTTGTCTTTCTTGCTAATTTACATGTATGGAATAGTGACAGCATATTCTTATTGTTTTTCTCAAAGAACACAAGTGAAATTTTCTAGAATTTAACCCATGTTTACCTAGACTATATATTTCCTTTTTATCTTAAAAGCCAGAACTTAACATTGGAAGCAAAGCATTGACAGGCCACCTCATTTGTCCCAAATCCAGCTCTCAAAATTATTTATTTTAAGGGCATATCCATCCAGTCCATCAGTTTTATTTTTACTTTGTCTTCAGTTAGTAGGGAAATCCTTTGAAACCAAGGCAAATGACTGCCTCTCTGTTCCAGAGACGTTTGACAAGGATCAGCCATGAGATCAATTTTTTAACTCAGATGGGTGTGGGTGGGGAGCTGGGTTGGCAGGTAATTCCAGAATTGCAGGAAAGGGAAATGAGATAACCAGTCAGCTCCTCCTGAGTTCCATTTTAACTACCTCTGCAGTACTGTCCCGATTCCTTGTGTGAAGCAAATTATTGTCAGAACATTTTCTGTAAGCATATACTTTAAGTAAAGCAAACATTCTAAAGCTATTTTGTTATTTTCTGCCATTTAGTATTATCGATGATCCAATCATCAAGAGCTGGATAAACGTGATGTATCTTTATCAGTGATTATCCTAAATATAAGCTAAGATTTCTAGCCTGAGGGTTTACAAGCTTTCCTAAAATCACACTTACATTTTCCTCAATTTATTTTGCAATATATGTACATCTATATAGCAAGGACTATTCCACTGAAAACTACAAGGACCAATATAGACATGACCAGCCCCTGATCAGCACCTGGACAGAAGCAGCTGCCCTTTCTTTAAATCCTAAGTGAAGTGAATGTTGTACCTGGTCTCACTTTTCTGGGGGTGATAGAGGAGCTGTGGGAGATCCTACTAGAAAAAGAAAAAAGGAGGCCAACAACCATATAGATTTCACAGATACATGTGTAAGTACACAGAGAAAAAACAAATGAGTGGGCCCTTGTAAGAACTGTTTAACAACATACTAATGTAGTAAAGAAATGTGGTCAGTCTTGCGGGCAGACGTGGGAAGCAGGCCCTCAGCTAGCTTAAGACCCTCAGAAAAGAGATGTGAAGACCTGAAGGAAGCAGCCGGAGAAAGGCAGCCCTCAGGGACTACAGATGGATCGAGCATGGTGGACAGAGGGCGGGGACGGGGTGTAATTCAGGGTAACGCAAATGGACTGAGGAGAGAAGGAAAAGACTGCACTCAGGAGAGACACGTTCTAGTGACATAAGCCAGGATATGTAGACGGAAGGTTCAGGGGCCAGAGGAGCAAATGCACCAGCTCGCTGATAAATAAAGTAGCTCTACTGTCTGGATGGCATGGGCAGGGCAGGGTTGGGTGGCTGGACCCAAACAGTTATGAGTGCACTTTCCTCCTCCGAGGACCAGAGAAGGGTATGAGAAAACAGCTCCGGGACTGAGCGACAGACAGTAAACTGAAGAGAAGTGACTGAAGTCGACGGCTACTATAATGGATGGAGCGTCCTAACGGGACTATTACTTGAGAAGAGCAGGAAGATTTCGATGAAGTCTTAGAAAAGGCTCCCGTTCTTTTCCACTAAGTAACAGAGATGCGAAGTAAAGAGCTGGGTTTCAGAGAACAAGACTGGGATAAGGAAGTCAGAAAGCCACTTTCCCTTTATTCAGAAAGATTTCTGTATGTAAATCATAGAAGATATGTATGGATTTACTTAATCATGCAACTAAAATTCATGTTTCTAAATATAGGATGAGGTTTGTACTACTCATACAAGCTTGGTATTCAAGCTTATCAAAAACCTGAACTTATGACTAAAAATAAAATGGTTTTATCTCCCTGGTGAACAACTTGGATTTTCAACTAAGGTTGCTAAATATTTGAACCACATTTATTGATTCACTCCAAAAAACAAAGTTTTCCCTGTCAAAACCCAAAGTCATAAAGTCAGTTGCCCACATGTCAACTGTAACCAGCACAGGAAGCTATAAATCATAAAGATTCAGACCTTGAACTGTGCCAACATCTGTGAAGAACAGGAAATGTTTACTTAACATTTATGTTAAGTAATGTTAACATTACTTAATGTTTATTAAATGTTCATTTAATAACCTGATCATGTGGGTTCTGTGTTATCAAATTCTCAAAGAAAAATTAAACTCCAGATATGACACAGCATATTAAAAATAAAGCAGAATCACAAAGGTGGTCAACAGATCATCCTTTCAAAGTTTTAAAATGAAAAGCTTTTGAACCATTAATTTTATCTCCTCCAGAACAGAGCTCTTCCTCTCCTGAAAGAACCTGATATTCCAAATCACAGGCTCTCAAGAACACAAACTCTCTGCCTGTCTCTCAGCTATCTGTTGGATGGTACACGCTGCTCTGAGTCTGCATCCCAGAGAGTCTATGAGGTTACAACTAAGTTACTCTGAAAATCTCAGTGCACTTGGAGATAAAGCAGTGATCAAAGAAGAGCTGCTGAAGGACTGAACTGGTAGAAGCAGAAAACGTATTTGACTAAAGAGACAAATAAATCTCTCATTTTAATGAATAAAGCATTAAGTCAAGTTTATATGAATGGGATAAAGGAATAATATTTTGTATATTCTGCAGACCAATCTTTAAAGTAGACCCCAAACACATGCACTTATATAAAAGTAAGAAAAAAGAAACCCACCCATGTCAGAATAGGACTTACCTATTTGTTTCTATTTTCATCCTTCCAAGCTGTACATTCAGTGATCGGTGAGCACTCTGGGAGTCGTGGGATACAGTAGAACTGAGTGTGCTCACCCCTGAGGTGGCCACAGCATCTTCAAGGGCCACATGAGGTCTTCGGACAGTTTGATTTGAAGGCTGCTCTTCATGGTCATCTTCTGCATCCAAGTCTTCTTGATCGGCGGTATCACTCTCAGATGCAAGGCTAAAATGTGGCCTCAGTTCTGTTAAGCATATGATCAACAACAGTGTTAATGAAATAAGAATGATTGCCTTAATTTCTTAAGACATGAATGTCGTCTCCCCTGCTATCAGTAAGAGGTGTATTCCCAACTGCTTTTCCAAAAGCGATGATGGATTTCTGCACATTACTTCAGATTTGTTTTTCCAGTGAATCTGCAAAATTCACAAGATGTATAAACTCAGAATGATCTAACACAAACAGAAGAGAAACTTCCACACTGCGCATAAGGTACGTGGGAAATATGTTAAAATCAGAAAGCAATTATATAAAAACCTGTTAAGAATATAAAAATTTGTTTACACAATTAAAATTCATATTTTCAATTATATAATATCTGGCAACTATTAACTCACTTAGAAATGAGGAAATTGAGATATAGAGATTATATAAACAAAAGTAAGAACACAGAATGCTTTTTGCTTGTAACATTCAAAATGTAAGGGGGGGCGTGTACTGAAAATGCCACACAATGCTTATATTCATTCTAGAAGACTATCTACTTTTGACTATTGGGTTAATTTTTGGTGTGTGTCCTAACCTGTTGACTAACCACTGAAATCTAAAGTGTAAAAGTTACAAGTCTCCAGCTTAAAAACACTGTATGACACGAGTTCATCTGCATGTCACTTCAGAACTGGGATGATACCTTCCCATGGGAAAAACTACTATAAATTGTGATTAGGTTCTCAAAATGGCCCCCCAAAAGGAATTACATTCATAATTTAAGTGAAATCAGGGAAGCAGAAATACTGGGTCTTGGTTCCATATGCTATGACACATGGAACTTTTTTTTTTGAATGAAAGATTCTTTAAATTCTATAGTCCTTTACAACTTTCAAAAGTTTCACACATATGATTTTATATAATCCCATAATAACCCTTATTTTCCCTCTACACTTGCATTGCCCCTCCCCCCTTCCCTCTCCCCACTGGTAAACACTTGTTTGTTCTCTGTATCAGTGAGTCTGCTTCTTTTTTGTTTTATTCACTAGTTTGTTGTCTTTTTTAGATTCCACATATAAGTGATAATCATATTTGTGGAAAGTCTGTATTTGTCTTTCTCTGTCTGACTTATTTCACTTAGCATAATGCCCTCCAAGTCCATCCATGTTGCTGCAAAGGGCAAATTTTCATTCTTTTGTATGGCTGAGTAGTATTATACACACACACTCACACACACACACACACACACACACACATCTTCTTTAGCCATTCATCTGTTGACACCTTGGCAGTTGTAAATAACGCTGCTATGAACATTGGGATACGTGTATCTTTTCAAATTACTGCTTTTGTTTCTTTTGGATATATCCCCAGGAGTGGAATTACTGGGTCATATGGTAGGTCTGTTTTTAGTTTTTTGAGAAACCTCCATACTGTTCTCCACAGTGGCTGCACCCATTTACATTCCCACCAACAGTGTAGGAGGGTTCCCTTTTCTCCACCTCCTCGCCAACATTTGTTATTTGTGTTCTTTTTTAAATTTTTAAAAATTTATTTATTTTTGGCTGTGTTGGGTCTTCGTTTCTGTGCGTGGGCTTTCTCTAGTTGCGGCGGGCGGGGGCCACTCTTCATCGCGGTGCACGGACCTCTCACTGTTGCGGCCTCTCCCGTTGCGGAGCACAGGCTCCGGACGCGCAGGCTCAGCGGCCATGGCTCACGGGCCCAGCCGCTCCTAGGCATGTGGGATCTTCCCGGACTGGGGCACGAACCCATGTCCCCTGCATCGGCAGGCAGACTCTCAACCACTGCACCACCAGGGAAGCCCATGGTAGTTCTATTTTTAATTTCTTGAGGAGCCACTATACTGTTTTCCATAGTGGCTGCAGCATTTTACAGCCTCACCAATAGTGCACAAAGGTGCTAATTTCTCCACATCCTCACCCTTTATCTCTTAAGGTTAACCAAGCTCCACCACTACACTATTTTTTTTTTTTGCATTATCTCCTTTCTCCTTCCAAAATTCTATTTCCTAGATCATATAGTAGGTGTGACTCAAAATCAGGTGTTTAAGTTTTGTAAGCCTGGTACCTGGTATAGGGGCTAAGACATATTAGTCTCTCAAAAAATGTTGGCAGAATGGAAGTTATCCTACTAGGATTATTTGCATTTATAAGGGAACAAAACAGTGAAAAAATTCTTACTTTAAAAATAATTTAAGAGAATTCAATTCTATATTAAATTAGAGCAAGAGTAGGCCTTTTAAATTTTCTAAATTTTTTCTCATGGTCTCTAAACTGAAATTTTAAAAACAATTTAAAAGGTTTATTGACCTGCTGAATATAATCTCACTTTGGGGGAAGGAAAATTTCTGATATTTATTATTACATTTAAATGTTCCCTTACATTCCCCTAACTCTGTACACTTTAAATTATCATATATTATCATTTTACTTATGTGCAAGTGACTAAAAATTTTTCTCAGTAATTAGAAAAAAGTAGAAAATTGTAGGGACTTTTCTGGTGGTGCAGTGGTTAAGAATCTGCCTGCCAATGCAAGGAACACGGGTTCAGCTCCTGGTCTGGGAAGATCCCACGTGCCACAGGCAACTAAGCCTGTGTGCTACAACTACTGAGCCTGGGCTCTAGAGCCTGCAAGCCCCAACTACTGAGCCCGTGTGCCACAAGTACTGAGGCCTGCACGCCTAGAGCCCGTGCTCTGCACCAAGAGAAGCCACCGCAATAAGAAGCCCACACACCGCAATGAAGAGTAGTCCCTGCTCGCCACAACTAGAGAAAGCACGCGCACAGCAACGAAGACCCAATGCAGCCAAATAAATAAATTTATTTTAAAAAAAATTGTAAGTGAATGCAATACTTTGTTATTTTGGTCTTTCAATGGTGGCTCCCTGAGGACACATCATCGAATAGACATTGTAAAACATGCAAATGAGACAGAGCATCTGGTCTTTGTCCTCAAAGAGATAACAACCTAAAGGAGAACCAAGGCAAATACACAGAAGAGTCATAAAAGCATATGTACAAAGATAACATGTGTCAGCCAAGTGTCAGGAGAAAGGCAGGGACCCAGGGGACCCTGGAATGAGTGGATGGCATTTAAGCCCATGTGTGGGAAATTAGAGCGGATAAATGTTTCCAAAACAGCAAGACAGGATCAAACAACGATATTATTCCCACCTCCCCACCCTCCTACTCCACCCCAACTGGTTAATTCCCCATAGGAGAATAACTAGACCAAGCTTCTTTTTTTTTTTTTTTTTTTTTTTGGGGTTCGTGGGCCTCTCACTGTTGTGGCCTCTCCCGTCGCGGAGCGCAGGCTCCAGACGCGCAGGCTCAGCGGCCATGTACATTCATAAACTATATCTGAGATTTAGAAGTGAGATTTGGGAAAGAGGGAGAGGTATTTTTTTTTTAATTTTTAAATTTTTTTGCGGTACGTGGGCCTCTCACTGTTGTGGCCTCTCCCATTGCGGAGCACAGGCTCCGGACGCGCAGGCTCAGCGGCCATGGCTCACGGGCCCAGCCGCTCCACGCCATGTGGGATCTTCCCGGACCAGGGCACGAACCCGTGTCCCCTGCATCGGCAGGTGGACTCTCAACCACTGCGCCACCAGGGAAGCCCTAGACCAAGCTTCTTTAACACCAGGTATTTCTGATGCCTATTAGGGTCACAATACTTGTCAGAACGACGTATGATCCTTGCATCAAGCACTGCACATAGTTTACAATGCTGGTCATTTTACATTAATGTCGACATGGGGCACATGACTGATTCAGCTTCACAACTGGTAGTAATACCAAGTGCTCTAGCAGTTTAAACAATTAGAGTTTCTATGAGAAGTGTGCCTACACTGTCAATTCTCTCTACCTTAGCACTGCCAACACGATCTCACGCTCAGCATTTCTCCATCTGGTCACCCACAGCCAGACTGTACTTGAGGAGTAACAACAGATACTTAATGTTGCCAGTAATCCACAGGCTGATCCTTGATGACAAATGGGAAAACAGCCCAAGAAAAAAAACTCTTACGGGGCTTGCACTGTACTCTCTGTTCTGTGTGCTCTTTTTCAGAAGAAAGAAGATTGAACACTTTCTTTTTTACTTTTCATTGTGAAATAGTTTTAGGATAACAGAAAAGTTGCAAACACAGTAAAGAGAGTTCCTGTATATCCTTTAGCAGCTTGCCCTAAACTTAACATCTTACGCAACTTTGGCACTATTAACAAAACCAGGAAGTTAACATGGATACAATAGTATTAACTAATCTATAGACCTTATTTGAATTGCACTGGTTTTCCCAAGAATGTTCTTTTTCTTATCGGGGATCCCACACTGCATTAGTTGTCATGTTTCTTAGTCTCTGCCAATCTGTGACAGTACCTTAGCATTTTTTTCTTTTTTCTTTTTTTTTTTTTTCTTGCGTTATGCGGGCCTCTCACTGTCGTGGCCTCTCCCATTTGCGGAGCACAGGCTCCGGACGCGCAGGCTCAGTGGCCATGGCTCACGGGCCCAGCCGCTCCGCGGCATGTGGGATCTTCCCGAAACGGGGCACGAACCCGCGTCTCCTGCATCGGCAGGCGGACTCTCAAGCACTGCGCCACCAGGGAAGCCCCATTTTTTTCTTTTTAATAAAGTTATTTACTTATTTTTGGCTGCGTTGGGTCTTTGTTGCTGCGTGCAGGCTTTCTCTAGTTTCGGTGAGCGGGGCTACTCTTCATCATGGTGCGCGGGCTTCTCAGTGCAGTGGCTTCTCCTGCTGCAGAGCACGGGCTCTAGGTGCACAGGCTTCAGTAGTTGTGGTATGTGGGCTCACTAGTTGTGGCATGGGGGCTCCAGGGCCCAGGCTCAGTAGTTGTGGCTCATGGGCTTAGTTGCCCCACGGCATGTGGGATCTTCCCGGACCAGGGCTCGAACCCGTGTCCCCTGCATCGGCAGGCGGATTCTTAACCACTGACCCACCAGGGAAGTCCTAACCCTAATATTTCTTTATCCCCCATGACTTCCTTATTTTTGAGGAGTACTG